GGCCGGGGCTGGGCGGGTCCTGATATACAGCGCTCGCCGGCCGCCGGCCGCACAGCAGAGCCGCAGAGCCCCGCGCGTGTCGCCCGCAGCCTCCGGTGAGTGCGGCGGCCGCGCCCCGAGTCACCGCTCCCGGTCCCACGCGTCCCCCTACGGGCGCCGGGAGCCCGGAGCCCCCGGAGAGGAGGGACGGCCGGGCCTGGACTGCGGTCACCCACCGCTTCTTGCCGTGACTTCTCCTTCCCTTGCAGAGCCGCTGTCCAGGGCCCCAGCCTCGCCACCATGAGAGTCCTGCGGGCGTGCCTGCTCCTCTGCGCCCTGGTCGTGAGCGACTCCGAAGTGAGTGGCTTCCCTGCGTTCGCTCCCATCGCAGGAGGGGCTTGCAGGATCCCTGACCTGCACCGGGGGAGGCCGGGCTGCACGGGTTCCATCAACAGCAGAGCCAGACTCTCGCGGGGAATAGGACGAGTGTGGCGGGGGGTGGGGGGCACGAGAACCTGGGATCTCCCACTCGCGGGCGAGGGAGGAGGAAGCCCCAGGGACTGCCCCGGCCTGAGGGCACCGGGTGTGAGAAGCTTGCTTCAGTCAATCCATTTCTCACTGCTGGAAACCTGTGATCTCTCATCTGAGGACTAGTTAGATATGAACAGGGTGAGGAGAGAGGGAGCTGGAGGCAAGCGTGGGTTTGGGGGTTGGGGCCGGTTTATCCTTCCCTAGAGTCCCAGGAGCATGGGATCTTTGGTGACACCCTCACCCCCCATCTCTTTCAGGGCAGCCATGCACATCATCGAGTGTCTGATGCATGTGAGTATCCACCCCTTGCACAATAGTTGACTGCATAGATGTCTCGGGAAGGCCTGGGGGCAGCCCCTCCCTTGCTCCTCCCGTGCTCCTTGCTTACCCACCTTTGTGCTCTGTAGCAAACTGTGGCTGTCTGAATGGAGGAACATGTGTGTCCTACAAGTACTTCTCCAACATTCGGCGATGCAACTGCCCGAGGAAATTCCAAGGGGAGCACTGTGAGATAGGTATGGGGATCCCTCTAACTGGGAAGTAGGGGGCACCGAAGATTTGTGGGCAGAGCAAGATGAGTGGGATGTAAGAGCAGGCAGGAGTTAGGAACTGGAGGTGGGGTGGGTGATATCCTCATCTCTATGTGATATACACAGTCAAGCACGCGTGCACACACACGCACACACACACGCACACACACACACACACAGGCTCATGAAGCAGTGGCTGCACAAACGTGAAGTGGGGATGGAAGGAGACCTTTTCTAGTGTCTTCTGCCAGGTCTGGAACCATGTCATGTCTAAAGTGCCCATCTGAACGTCCTCCTCTTTCTAATGTTCTCTCATCCTCACATCCTTCCATAGATACATCAAAAACCTGCTATCACGGGAATGGTCGCTCTTACCGAGGAAAGGCCAACACCGACACCACAGGTCGGCCCTGCCTGGCCTGGAACTCTGCTGCTGTCCTTCTGAAACCATACCATGCCCACAGACCTGATGCCCTTCAGCTGGGCCTGGGGAAACACAATTACTGCAGGTGAGGTGGGAGCAGCCAGGACCAAGAGACCCCCCCATAGCCTAGCAGAAACTCTTGTGACCATCCCCTTCTGCTGCCCATCGCATGAGAAAAGCAGAGCCTCTGGTTGAGCCTTTCAGCATTCTGGATTGGAATGACATTCTCTACCTCTCTGTGTTGCCAGGAATCCAGACAACCAGGCGTGGCCCTGGTGCTACGTGCAGGTTGGCCTAAAGCAGCTTGTCCAAGAGTGCATGGTGCATGACTGCTCTGTGGGTGAGTGTCACTCACCTGCTTATGACAGAGGGGGTAAGGGGACAAACTTGTCTGTCCCCTTATTCCATCACAGGAGGGATGAGGAGGGAGGCCTGCCTGAGAGGGATCTTACCTGCCTCCTCAAGACATGTCTCTTTTTCTCTGCCAGGAAAAAAGCCCTCCACACCTCCAGAAAAATCAGAGTTTCAGTGCGGCCAGAAGGCTCTGAGGCCCCGCTTTAAGATTGTTGGAGGAGAGTTCACCACCATCGAGAACCAGCCCTGGTTTGCGGCCATCTACAGGAGGCACCGGGGAGGCTCTGTCACCTACGTGTGCGGGGGCAGCCTCATCAGTCCTTGCTGGGTGGTCAGCGCCACGCACTGCTTCATGTGCGTCCCTCTGTCTCTTCTCTTCGGCCCTCCTACCCTCCTCAAATACATCCCAACACCTTTGTTGTTCCACCTTGATTCTCCCACCACCTCCCCCAGCCCCTCTCCATGTAGGACAAGTCATGCTTTGAGGCCTCTTGGGTGGGGAGGAGGAAGTGACAGGACTTCATGAGACCAGGCTGTCTGACAGGTCTCATGTCCCACAGCAATCACAAAAAGAAGGAGGACTACATGGTCTACCTGGGCCGGTCAAAGCTCAACTCCGTGACGCCCGGGGAGATGAAGTTTGAAGTGGAGCAGCTCATCTTGCACGAGGACTACAGTGCTGACACACTCGCGCACCACAATGACATTGGTGAGTGGAAAACCTGATGATGGTGGCTGGGCAAAGAGGGGTCCCCGGAGAAACCCAGTGGAGGCAGAGGTTGTGGGGGACCTCGAAGCCCCTGCTTTACACAACACAGGGAGAGGGGGGTAGGGAAGAGTTCAGAGTGAAAATTTTTTTTTTTTTTTTTTTTTTTTTTTTTTTTAAAGATGACCGGTAAGGGGATCTTAACCCTTGACTTGGTGTTGTCAGCACCACGCTCACCCAGTGAGCAAACCGGCCATCCCTATATGGGATCCGAACCTAGGGCCTTGGTGTTATCAGCACCACACTCTCCCGAGTGAGCCACAGGCCGGCCCCAGAGTGAAATTAATGAGGGCGCTGGTGCCCCAGTTTCCTAAACACAAAACCTCTTCTGTAGGCATATGATTCGGGCTGGGAATGCCCTGTTTGTGCAAATAGAAAAAGATGACCTTTCCTCTGCGGGATGCAGCCTCTGTCTGTACCACGATACAGAATTTGGAGAGTAGAAGGCCGGCCCCAGAGTGAAATTAATGAGGGCGCTGGTGCCACAGTTTCCTAAACACAAAACCTCTTCTGTAGGCATATGATTCGGGCTGGGAATGCCCTGTTTGTGCAAATAGAAAAAGATGACCTTTCCTCTGCGGGATGCAGCCTCTGTCTGTACCACGATACAGAATTTGGAGAGTAGAGCCTTGGGCTGCATTTGCAGCCAGGGCTGCATCTCAGCCGGGCTTTTTGCAGGAAACAAGCTGTGTGAGGCAGCCTTGGCTGCACAAGCCTTTATCAACAGCTGGAACAAAGCTCTTGGGGCATGGGGCAGGGGAGACTTCCAGGTGACAAGCTACCAGCAGACCTTCCTGGATGACCTCTGACCCTAACTGACCTAAGGATAGACATAGCCACTCTTTCAGCATTTGGAGGGGAGAAGTGGTGACCATCTGACCAGCAGGCAATCCTTCCCCTGTGATTCTGTCCTCCTACCCCAGCCTTGCTGAAGATCCGATCCAACACGGGCCAGTGTGCACAGCCATCCCGATCCATACAGACCATCTGTCTGCCCCCAGTGTATGGAGATGCCCGTTTTGGCACAAGCTGTGAGATTACTGGCTTCGGAAAAGAGAATTCCAGTAAGTGACATTTGGGGCTGACTCTTGGGGAAGTGTTGTGATCTGGAAGTGAGCTCAGCGTGATCAAGGGAGGACTGTGGAGACAGAGATTGGAGCACCACCGAGGTGGCAGATGGGTCCAGGGATGGAGTGGGGAGCGTTGTTTAGGGACTGATGGGCCACAAGGAGGAATAGGTGGGGGGCGAAAGACTTTAGGTGGGGTAAAGGCCCAGATTTGGGTGAAAAAAGAGTAAAGGCTTTCCCTGGTAGGGACAATTTTTGGTTCCTCTCCCTGGCAGAGTCCACATGGACAGACACATCTTAACTCAAACTCCTCCCTGTGTCCCCCACCTAGCCGACTATCTCTATCCAGAGCAGCTGAAAATGACCGTTGTGAAGCTGGTTTCCCACCAGGAGTGTCAGCAGCCCCACTACTATGGGTCTGAAGTCACCACGAGGGAGGACACGGGCGCCACCCATGCTGACTGTCATTTGTGCGGTGGGGTCATCTCATCAGCTGTAAGGAAGAGAGGCTCCGCAGAGGTGGTTTTGCTTGTGCTGCCCACCAGGATGAATGACAACAGCTTTACCCTCAGACAGGGGCCTGGGTGCTGGCCACCCAGACCCCCTGGCCAGGATGGAGGGGTGGTCCTGACTCAGGATGAGGGAGGACACGGGCGCCACCCATGCTGACTGTCATTTGTGCGGTGGGGTCATCGCATCAGCTGTAAGGAAGAGAGGCTCCGCAGAGGTGGTTTTGCTTGTGCTGCCCACCAGGATGAATGACAACAGCTTTACCCTCAGACACGGGCCTGGGTGCTGGCCACCCAGACCCCCTGGCCAGGATGGAGGGGTGGTCCTGACTCAGGATGGAACTGACAGTAGTTTGTCTTTTTCTGGACTAAAGCCTCCTGGAGTTAAAAATGGCATCTCCTGTGTGTGGGTGGAAGAAGAGCCAGCTCCCCTAACAATGGGCATTCACAAGGTCCACTGTTGGGAAATGAATAATTTCCCAATTAGGAAGTGTAACAGCTGAGGTCTCTTGAGGGAGCTTGGCCAATTTGGGGAGTAGAGACACTAATGACTTGAGGGAAGGACTCTGGCATTCCATGAATGTATCAAGAAATATTATACGTGTGTATATGTTTGTGCACGGGCTTGCATGTATGTTTGCACACTTATGCACCGGCTGTGAGTGCATGTGTGAGTGAGTAACAGCTGGTGTGTCCGACAGCAAGTTTAGGTATTTCCCTAAACTGTGTGGACAGTGATGCCACACACAGCGGTCTGTCTAGAGGGGTTGTGGGTCACTCCTGGGGCCTCCTGGGTCCTTCAAGTGATGATGGCTGTGAGATTATGATTCTGGGGCAATGCCTGTGACCAGCTCTAAATGTCTGTTTCACTTTCATGTAGATGTCCATTTCTTGGCCAGTTATCCCTTCTGACTTTTCAGCCTAGTTCATCCAATCCTCACTGGGTGGGGTGAGGACCATTCCCGCACACTGAATATTTAATAAATATATTCTGTTATTTTTATTTATATCTATTTTTTTAATTTTAAATAAAAATTATCAATAAAATGTGATTTTTCTGAAGACTTTGGTTTCTCCCTGGTGCTTTTATGGGAGAGAGCTGGGGAGCATAAAAAGTAGAAAAATGATGAAGGTGGCACGCACCCCAGAGTTTCTTGTGGGGTTGCATCTCTTGGATTAATGGGGCTTAGGGAAGTAGAAGGTAGGAGAGTTGTAGGGCAGGGACTCCACAGCACATAAGGTACAAGCAGGTGTCTCGTGCCAGGGGCCAATGGCTTGGTAAGTGGTGTGCAGGCCGAGTTGCAGCTCCCAATTGTCTTCTTAGCCTGATGCCTTTGTACAGTGTGCATCCTGTACAACTGTACACAGTGGTCCTCTTTAGGATTAACTCCACCCACCACATTCTCTTCACTCTGCCTTCAACAATCCTTGGACTGACCTCAACCAAGAAGAACACTTGCATGAGTGAAAATTGCTGATCCAAAACCCCAGCCTGAGGCATTCAGGGAACAGAAAACCTCAATTCCCATCATCTGTTGGGGGCTGATGCTGAGTTTTTTCAATGCGTTAATGAAGCTTATGACCAGCCATTGCTATTCCTAAGATCAGGGAACTCAGTATCTAAAGCTGGATGATGTACTAAGGGGGGTGACCATATATTTTGAACTAAACATCAGGTTCTGAAGAACTGGTGGCAGGCTGGGAGATACAGTTGCATGCCGAAATACTGGGATTTCCAAGTTGTGTTAATAGGTTTTGGCATTATCTTAACCAAGTCACCTGAGAACCTTGTAAAAATATGCAAATTTATGCCCCACCTGTAGAGATTATGATTCAGGTCAGGGCTGGTGCCTGGGCTCGTGATTTTAGAAAAGCTCCCCAGGTGTTTCTGATACGCACCACTGATTGAGAACCTTTGGGGACAATTGGACAGAAAATATGAAGGACCCAGAAAATACAAGATATGGACAGCATGATTTTTCTTCATGAACTGCCTGTTTTCTCAGTGGGTTACAGGGGTACAGGGTCTCTGGGCTTCCTGTCCAGAAGCTCTCTAGACTGTGGATTCCTGGAGAGCAAGAACCCAGAGTATTCAGCTTTTAATCCCATAAACTAGCATGTTGTTTTACACAGTGTGATGCAGTGGTTCAAGGCGTGGATTTTGGAGTAAGGCGGCCTGGACTAGAATTCTGGCTCCAAATCTAGCTGTGTGACTTGGGAAAGACTATTTGCCTCTTTGTGCCTCAACTTCCTCATATGTAAAAAAGAGATAATATCTGCTTCCCAGGGTTGTTATAAGGATTCATGAGATCATAAGTCTCTTGGCATAAACTTGGCACCTAACAAAAATGGTGGCTATTTAAATTCTTGTAGAATTGAATGGGAACTCCTTTCCCTCTTCTATCCTGGATTGCATTCAGTGTTTTGTGGGAGCAGAAACTTGTTAGGAAAGAAAAGGCATGATCTGAAGCTGAGGGGCCCAGCCCAGGCTGAGTGTCTGCTCAGTCTCTGCATCCCCCCAGGGGCCAAGAAAGATCTTGTTCAAACTTGAGCAGCTCCAGCATCAGGACTCAGAGACACTGAAAACAGGAAGCATGAGCCCCACTGGCAGTTGAGCAATGAGGCTGCTAACAATCTTCAGACCATTTCCCGGCCACCACCCTGACCCCCAGCCAACTGCTGGCTCTTCTCTGAATCTTAGATCTTACTTGGGGGCTGGCATGCACCAGCCCCTTCTCCAGCAACCAGCTTCATGGCTCCAGATTCTCATTTGAGGAACTGCCTTTTTCTTTTTACTGCTCACTATGACCGAGCTCTGTGCTAGATTCTTCTTGTGTTGTCTGATTTAATCCCCCAACAATTCTAGGAGGAAGGTACTATCATTAGCCCCATTTGACAGCAGAGAAAATGGAAGCACAGAGAGACTGTTTGACTTGCCCTAGCAATGCAGGTGCAAATGCAAGGAGCTGTGCTTCAAACCCAGCACGTCCACACACAGAGCGCTGTGACGTATTACCCTTCAGTGCACCCACATGGGGGAATGAGTACCAGCTCCTTTCAAGCTCCGGGCTCCAGGGTGCTGGGTTTCTAGGCAGAGGGTATCAGCATTTCAACTCTCTCCCAGGTAATAATTCTTTCCTTTAAAATGTTCTCAGGCCAGGTGAGGAGACCGCACTCAGCCACCAGGTTCAAAGTCAAACTTCACCCTTCTCAAGCTAACCTCAGCCTTTTTTGCTGAAATCTGGTTTCATTGAAGTGGTTTCCGTTTTCACCAGAGCCCCTCCTTCTGAAATATTCTGTGGCCCATTCTATTGTCAGGACTCAACTCAATTTCCATGTATGCCCTGTCTTTCCCAAGCCAGTGTCCACAACACCCACACCCCTGCAGACACCCCTCCACACGCACCCCCATTGTGGCCACCTTCCTCCCCAGCAGGAAACAGTTGAGCCCTCCCTTTGAATCAGAGACAGGGAGAGGAGTTGCTGAGGGGCTTTTAGAATAGCAGTTCTATTGAAACATAATTCATGTGCCATACAATTCACCCATTGAAAGTGTACAACTCAATGGTTTTCAGTACATTCACAGAGTTGTGCAACTTCACAAGCAATTTTAGAACATTTTCATCACCTCACTCAAAGAAACCATCTCATAAAGTGCCCATTAGCAATCACTCCTTTTTCCTCCCTAACCTTCTGAGCCCAAGGCAACCCCTAATCCACTTTCTGTGTCTATGAGTTTGCCAAGTCTGGACATTTCACATAAATAGAATCATATAATATGCGGTCTTTTGTGACTTGCCTCTTTCACTTAGCATGTTTTCAAGTTTCATCCATGTTGTAGCAAGTCTCAGTACCATGGCTGAATTTTAAATAACAAATTGGGAGAAAAGATGGTCTAGGCCCCCTTCTGACCTTGCAGTCACATCAAGAGTCATTCAACAGTCTTTTTTTTATTTTTTTAAGTACCTATATACCAGGCATTCTTTTAGATTCTTTCAGATACTGGAGATATAAGAACAAGTGAGACAGTCCACAGCCATTGTTAACATTTCTGGCTTCTTGAGCTTTTTTTTATTTTTTTAAGTACCTATATACCAGGCATTCTTTTAGATTCTTTCAGATGCTGGAGATATAAGAACAAGTGAGACAGTCCACAGCCATTGTTAACATTTCTGGCTTCTTGAGTTTCCTTTCAAAACCAGGGGACAGACCCCAGTTTTCCCTAGCTTTTCCCCTATTCCCAGCAGGAACAGGCCTGGGCTAGGGGAAAGGGAAATAGCTAAAGAATATCTGCTTGAGCGCCGGCCAGTGGCTCACTCGGGAGAGTGTGGTGCTGACACCAAGTCAAGGGTTAAGATCCCCTTACCAGTCATCTTTTAAAAAAAAAAAAAGAATATCTGCTTGACCATGCAGGATGGGCTGGATTCCCAGGAGTAACAATAAAATCCAGTTAATAATAAGAAAAGAGTAGAGTTGATTAAACACATACTTCCTTAGGCTGACTTGATTTAAAAGTCAGGTTGTTTGTTACTTAGGCTAAGATTTGGTTTGAAGGTCAGAATGTTATTCCTTAACTTAATGCCTTATGGCTTAAGATAACATCCGTAACACCAATCTCAAGTTGTTTCTGAAGACCACCCGCATTACAAGACTCCCTGGACCCTAAGGCATCATGGAAAATACCAGTCAAGATGCTAGGAATAGGGCCGAGCCCGTGGCGCACTCGGGAGAGTGCGGCGCTGGGAGCGCAGCAGCGCTCCCACCGCGGGCTCGGACCCTATATGGGGATGGCCGGGGGATGGCCGGTCACTGCTCACTGGCTGAGCGCGGTGTGGCCGGTCTCAAAAAAGACAAAAAAAAAAAAAAAAAAAAAAAAAAAAAAAAAAGATGCTAGGAATAGTTGTGCCTACTTCACCCTGAACCAATCAACTTCTCACATGACTCCCTGGAGCCCCAGACATTATTTTGCTCTACAAGTGTTTGTGATTTTAACCTGTCTGGGAGCCCAAGGTCTCAAAGCTCTTTAGCTGACACAGGCTCCTTTCACTGGCCATTCAAAATAAACACTGATCTTTATCTCTGCTAACTTTGGCTTGAGGGACTCTTCAGTAATTTAGGGGTGGCAGTCAATGAACTCCCTCTTGGTTTGGTAACACTTTGTAATCTCCCCTCCTCTACTTGGCCTTGAATGTTAGGTTCCCCAAAGCCTGATCCTAAACCTTCTCCTCTCCCACCCTAAACTTTCTCCATGGAAAGCTCATTCGTATCCAGGCTTACATTATCATCAATAAACAGACAAATCATAAATGCTTATCCTCAGCCAGACCTCTCCTCTGTACTCCAGACCCTTATTTTCCCTGGTCTATTTGACACACTTTTTGGTTGTCACACACAGGGCATCTCAAACTCAACCTGCCCCAAACTGGCCCTGTCCTCATGTCCCAATCTGGACTTCTTCCATTACTCTTTGACTCGGATGATGGCACCACATTTATTCAATTACACAAGCCCGAAACTTAGGAGTCATCCTGATGCTTCTCTGTCCTCTCTGTCTTTATCCCATCTATCACCAAATCCTAGCAATTTGCCTAATATCTCTTGAAGTCATTCATTTCTCTCTATTTCCTCCGCCACCATCATTAGCTGAGGCCAAGCCACATCAGCTCTTGCCTGGACGACTGCAATAGCTTCCCAACTGGTTTCCCTCATTGGCTTTATTTCACCTCCACGTCCTCCCACAACCCCACCAATCCATTCTGCTCACCTAAAGCGGAGTAATCTTTTGAAAGTGCACATACGCTTAGTGACTCTGACTGCTCCTTGAGGGTGGCCAGCAAGCCTGGGCAAGGTCTGCTCCTACCTCCTCTCTGAGCTTCACCTGGCACCAAACTGCCCCAATCTAGCACTACCCAGCTGCTCTCTTACTTGTCAATCTCTCTCGCACCACGGGTCCTTTCACATGATGTTCCTTCTGCTTGGGACTTTCCTTCTGACTTTTCTGGACGAGTTAAGTTCCTCCTCATGCTTCAACATCATTTCTTTTCTTCAAGGAAGTCTTTTCTGGGCTGCCTCTGTCTATATAAGGTCCTGCTATTTTGTCTATAGTCTGACTGTACCATGTACCACCTCTTTGATGCACTTGTCACTGTTAAAATTTTACTACCTTGGGCCGGCCCGGTGGCGCACTGGAGAGTGCGCCGCTTGGGGGTGTGGTGGCGCTCCCGCCGATGGTTCGGATCCCATGTGGAGACCGGTGGTTCCCGCTCACTGGCTGAGCGCGGTGTGGGTGAAACACCGAGGGTTGCGATCCCGTTACCGGTCAGTAAAAAAAAAAAGACAAAAAGGAAAAAAAAAATTTTACTACCTTTATTTCATTGTTATTTAATGTCTTTTTTCTCCACCAAATCATAAACTCCATGAGGTCAAGCATGGTGTGTTTTTGATTACCATTTTATCCCCAGGTCCTAGATAGAATATGGCAGACATTTAATAAATATTTACTGAATGAATGCATTCTGATGTATTATTTCCTTCCAGCTTTTCCTTTTCCTTTGTCTTTTTTTTTTTTTACATGATTGTGTTCATATTATGTACACAATTTTGTGTTTTGTCCTTTTCCTTTGGCTATTTTATCACTAACCTTTTCCTGTGGAGTTACAAATCTCTCCAAGCCTATATGTACAATAATAACATTCATCCAACCTAACTTTCAGGATTGAGGCATCACAGATAAAGTATGTGAAAGTTCTTTGTCAATTGTATGTACACACGAGACAGTATTATTGGCGTTTCAAAGGAAATATGGGTTACATTTATCTCTGGTGCCCTACCCACTCTTGCTTTTATACCTCTTTTCCTCAGGCATTTTTTGGGTACCCTTGCTCTGCTTGATTACCTGATTAAGATCTTAAATACCCCATTAACTTTAATGTCCTGCCAGCACAAAAAGGTTTGCATTTTTAAAAAGAATCGCTGAAAGAAGGGCACTCTTAGCCCAAGTTAGTGAAGTCTGGGGGTTGAAAGAGTATTCAAGAGGTTAATTGATTCATTGATTCATCCTTCACTCATTTGTTTAACACACACTTATTGAGAGTTGGTCATGGCCTGGCACTGACCGCTCTGTGTACTGGGTGTAGAGATGAAAGCCCCAGTCTCAGCCTCCGTGAGCGGAAGGTCAAGTGGGGGAGGAGACACGTGAATGAGCAGAGCACGGAGAGAGCATCACAGTGAGGATGACGTGCCAGAGGGGCATGGAGGGCTGAGAGAGGGGCGGAGGAGGTGACCGTGGGTGGAATCTTGAAGGGCAAATATGGAAGGGAGAGATGACACACTGGGCAGAGGAAACAGCATGTGCAAAGGTAAAGAGGAAGGGGGGAGCATGGGGCCCTCAAGGAACCCAGGATCGTTCAAGCGGTCAGGGTGGGGCCTGCACGAGAGACAGATTTGGTTGGAGGGACTGTGAAGAGCTGGAACCTCCTGCCCCAGAGGACCGTGCCTGCCATATGAAGGACTTCGGATTTTATTGAGGGGGAATCTTAAAGCGTTTGGAGCAGTGTGGCCGCAGTGTGAAAGACTGACCAGAAGATTATTCTTGGGCCTAGCTGAGACCATGAGC